CCCCCCACACGCCCGCGGACGACCTGTTTTTGAAGCAAGACACGAGCGGCTCCCGTCACAGGACGTATGCTTTGCAGGAATGACGAGAGTGACTTGTCCACGCTCGCTGATGGATATTCCGCTGTTGCTGCTTGTTCTTTCGAAACTAGTACTACTGCTGTGGCTTGTACGCGCGGGTGCTCGATCTTCGCGCGTGGATATGGTATTTGTTTGTCTCAGCGGGGGGTGCGCGGCTGGCTGGTTCTGTGACAATATAGCAGAAGCAAACGAGCGAAGCGGTGCAAGTGACGGTTTGCTCCGGGTTGTGGATTTTTTTTACCGAGGACAGCACTGATTTAGCCCCGGCGTACCCTCAAACAAGCACAAGAGATGCATAAGAAACGGCTTTGAAAGGAATCTCACCCCTCCTTCGTGCAGACACGAGGCGCACTCATTCGACACCATCTCCTGATAAGAGCAGTCCCCGGTGCCGTGGTCACAATCGTTTGAGCACGTCGTGTCGTTACCGTTGTCGTTACCGTTGTCGTTACCGTTGAAAACAGGCATTGATCACTTCTGCATCCACGCGGGGGGACGGGGCGTGATTGACGGCATCGAGAAGAACTTGGCTCTGCAGGAGCACCACACGGAGCCCTCGAGGGCCACGCTCAGGGATTACGGCAACACTTCGTCCTCTTCCATCTGGTGCGTCATCGTCGTCGCCGTCGTTTGTTTTTTTTATTCGTGCCTCGCTCACAGGGTCCATCGTGGCCTGCTGCTGCCTTTTTATGTTGTTTCGCCTCCCATCGAAGCAGTGCTTTCCCTCACCGTGTTGTATTGGGTTGCATGACGAAATGCTTCGTCCCCCTCCATCCGGTACGTTTTCTTTTTTTTTCATGGGAACAATGGAGCACGGGTAGTTCCACCTCAATGATAGGTGCGCTTTGATTGAAGCATTGGTGTTTTGTTTTTTTGTATGCCAGTCCACGTTACTGCTGTATTTTTTGCTCCTACACTTCGTCCTATCTTGAAACTCATTCGACATTGCACCCTATTTTCCGTTTTTTTCTTTCGGTGTTATATTTTTTGCTTTTTTTTTTTTTGTCTATCGTTACCGCTTCGTACGTACCCGCACATACCCGGAAAGGGCATCGTACCGCAATCACGTATCGCGTCGGTGATCCCGTATCAATGTGATATGGTGCCCTTTCAGGACAGTGTTACTTTGATGCTATCGACCGCGTCAAGCGTTAAGACTATAGTAGTACGGACAGATGAAGGTACTTGGGGAAGAGAGTGGAAGCAAGGGGGTCTTTGATGTTTTGATGTCAAGACAACAATAACAGCAACAACAACATCATCCCCAGAGGATGAACTATTACTATACTACAGCAGTATGTACAAGTATTGTACATCGTTTGGCGTGTTTCATGGCACGCGGGCCTGGAATGTGCCACGTCTCTTGGAGGGTCCTTCCTCCCTTGCGTGTTCATCAAAACTAGCTCCTCCATCTTTGGTGTCCGTTGACCAAATTCGAAGCACCTAAATGTCAGCACTTGTTGCTCATCGATACCTGTGTCTCTGCCAATGGGACTAGCTTGTGCCTAAATTTGAGATCTTGCTTTCCCATCCCCCCCTGCCCCTCACCCGTTATGGTGTGAAAAACGCCAACAACTGCCAGGTATGAGATGAAGTACATCGAGGAGCACTCGGACCTCAGGCGGGGCCAGCGCATCCTGCAGGTGAGATATTTCCACACACGCCCGACTGACTCCCTTTGTTGTTGTTGCTGCTACTGTTGAGTGTTGTTTGCGATGGGGGCGGTGTTGCTGTTAGTCTTGTTTGTGATGGTGTTATTGTGCGTTGTAGTCCTGTCTAGTCCGGGCACCGATCTCCACACCTTTCGGATCATGTGTTTTTTAGTACCAGGTGACCGCGCATGTGCACGTACTCCTATGTCTTCCTGCGAAAGGGGGAAGTCAATCAATCCTACACAAAAATCACCCAAAACCAAGGCTTCCGTTGGCCGTCGTCTCCCCAATTAGGGGTCTTCCTTTTTTCCTTTTTTTTTTTTTTTTCCTTTTTATCATCACATTGATTCAGCGCTGACAGCGTTTGTGTCCGGTTGGCGCTACAGTCTGACCCGTGGTCACACACACTCTCTGGTCTCTTGCCTCCCTGCAACACGGAAAAAACAAACCAGGTGGCTTTCGGGAGTGGCTTCAAGTGCAATTCTGCTGTGTGGATCTGCCTCAATCCTCCGGACCGCAAGTAGAGGGCGTAGGTCAGCTGCATCAGAAACCCGTCCGCGGGACCCACATTCCACCTTTTTTTTGTTGCGTTAGCGCGCACGACTCCGCCCCCCCGGCGCCCGGTGAGGTTAGGGTTTCAGGAGGCTTTTTTGTTCCCGTGGGATGGGGGTGGCTTTAGGGCTTATTCGTGCCGACCATAATAGAGGAACGTGCTCGGTATTTCAGTGCGTGTAGCACGGCGCGCTTGTTGCTCTGTCAGTCCACGTGTGAGTTATTGGCATGAGTTATGAGAAGAGGGTTGGGTTTACATTACCTAGGCATGCACCATCAGGATTAGGCCGGAGTGTCCCGGATCGGCATGGACCGCTAAAACGCTACTTGCGGGGCGCGGGGGGTCGTGCTTGTCACGTTGCGGGGGAGGGGGTCGAGCGGAAGAGGGAGCGAGCAACACAGACTCTACAGATAATTTGTGTTGATTTCCCAGCTAGGTGTGGGGTCCGCTGTCTGCATATAGCTCCTCGTGTTAATTACCTAAATAGCAGGACAAGATACCACGTCTTTGCGTCTCACCATCGCCGTCCGCTACTACCAGCCAATGGTGCAATGACGGCGGGTTGAGGGGTGGGGGGGTGGCAGCGCGCCAGGGGTGAGATGGTTGCTGCTGCTGTCTAAGCCTTCCCTTTTTTTCTTTTGTATTTGTCTTGTTCCACTTGCTGGTTTTAAACCCGCCGCTGCCTGTCGGTTGAAGTCGATGGGCTTGGCGGGACATAGATGATAGTTTAGTATATTTTCACGTTCGTACAGCAGGAGCCGGTCCTGACGGCCCTCAAATAGATGTCTACTCCTGCTCGGAAGTGCACTGTGTGCTGCCAATCCGAAATCTATCGGTAACTGCAGGAGACCACATTGCTTCGACAACCGCGAGCACAGGGGTAATAGCCCAGGATAAGTGTACGTGTGGTCGGTGGGTTGTTGCCGGATAGGGTTGTGAAAGCTCTTCCCGTCACGTCACGTCTTGGAGAGGCCGAGGTCTGACATATATTGTACGCAAGTGTTGAATTGTGAAGCGCTGATGGACACAGATACAGGTGTTTTTGTTTAGAAGCAGAGAGTTCGGCGTTTTGCTGATGCCTCGTTGCGTCTGGAGTTTATTCCAAGCGGGCGAACGAATTTTTCGCGAAGGTTGTGTGGATGAAAGTGCTAGGGCTGCGGGTGTAGATCGAGCCAACCACAGGCAGAATTGTTGAGGCAATGTTACCGTGAGCTTTTGGCGCCCTTGTTTTACCTGTCGTCTGTTTTTCCTGCCGCCCGTGCAATCCCGAGAAAGCTCGCCGCCTTCGATTCATGCCGCGGAGGCGGTTACCAGTGCAGTGCCTGCCGGTATTGATTGCTGTCTTTGGCGTTTGTATGTGTATACGCCAGTATTGACAAGAGCACCTTCAATTCAGTGCATTGCCTGCCGGCAATTTCCGGTTGTGTTGGCGTGTCGAGCACTCGATCTCTTGTCGACTGCGCATAGTCCAGGCGTTTTCTTAGTTCGCGGAGCTTTTGGTGCAGTTGATTTGAGCAGATGGCCGGCAGGAACGACATTCAATGCTTTTCGATCGGGCTCGGCTCTCGGCTCTTCACGGCAACTTGCAGTAGTGCTGAATGCCACCCAGTCACCCCGCTTCACGAGTTCCATGGACGATCGGGTGCATCATCGGGTAATCCCCCCAGAGGTCCTAATAATAAGTCCTGCATGGTGGCGGGACCCTGTGTTTCATATTCAGTCATGCGTCACCAGTAGGTGCAGCAGTCCGGAAGGGACAAGCAAGTTAAGGCCATCCTGGGCTTCGCCGAGTGCTAGTTCAATCGTCACACATGTTGTATGTGCACTCGGAAGGTGCCAAGCTTTGCTGTGTCCACTTGTTTTTTTCTTGTCCCGGCGTTACCCGTCGTAAATCGATCAGCTGAGAAATAGTACCGCTCGCGGAGAGAGCAGCTGTCAGTCTGGCTAGCCGTCCCTGCCATTATTTTTTCCATCGGTCCGGCAGGCATGTTTTTTTTTGCTTTTCAATGCGAAAGACAGTACACATGTGAGACGCGAGAGAGACAGGCACAGAGATGCGCAGCACATCGAAACTTAAATTTGTTGGCGCTCTACTGCTATCTTTCATCATCCATCATCATCCTTCATCATCGCAGTCATCAGAACCACCACAAACAAACGGTGAACGAACGAACGAACGAACGAACGAACGCAAATTCCAGCATGATCGTAGTGGGCAGCAGCGTTGCTAGCTCATTCGCTCGCGACCGATGGGCGATGCATGGGATTGTTGTCAATCAAGAAGGGGTGATGTTCGCTGTGCATCCGTGCGGGCTAAGTGACAGTTGCTCTGCTGCAGTAGTTAGGTTTGGACGTTCCGCCTCTCTTTCTGCATTTACTTGCTTACAGAGGAAACCTATACAACACACACACTAGTCTATCCGTATATCCCACATAATACATGATGTTCGCACAACAGCAAACTGCACTAAGTCGCGCATTCAGGAGTGTCGCGCATATCGCCCCGTCATATCGGCAGGCACGCAAAAATCGAGGTTTTCAAGCTTTACTCGGGTAAAAAGAAAAAATATACTCCCACCGGGGTTCGAACCCGGGACCTCGGCTTTATCAGAGCCGCGCTCTACCAACGGAGCTCTGGGAGCCACGGATTGATGTGATACAATGTGCTGCCGTCGAATAGATAGTAAAGTCAGAAATTACGTTGTTATGCATACGGATTTTGCGTATGCGTTCCGTGCACGTATATATCCAGTGAGCGGCGGAAGGACGTAGATATGTCTCGTGCGTTCGCTCGGCGTTGTGCTGGTGGTCGACTGACGATTGATCATGATGTGATGCGTGCGTGCACGTACGTAAAGTGACGTCAACAGCACATATATGCGAAGTAGATTTAACGTGCATCATCTATCCATAGACTATGCATATGTATTTCCTCACGTTGTCTCTTCAGAAGACATGGCACGACCATGCTGAGAAGATACTCGTTTCGTTCAGTGGTACATAGAGATGTGTAGCGAAGACCCAGTGGTGGGGGTTTCCAGGGGTTGGTTGGCGTTGCCTTATCTCGTTGCTTTGAAACTGCTATTTTTTGTTGGCTATTCGACGAAAGCGACCACGAAGAATTCAACTGACGCCAGCTGCCGACCGAATGCGTCAGCAGGTCTTTCGAGACTCAGCTAGAACCAAACCAGACGGTCCGACGACGATCGATGACTGGGTTTTTTGAGCGGTGATGTTGCTTCAAGCTGTGTGAATAAGACAAACAGCGGACTGCATACGACCTGTGTATTGCTTGCATACCTCGGAAGCTGATGATACGGAGAAGGCGGGGAAAATAAGGAGTGCACGATTTGACTACCAGATGTACACCAAGGTCAGAGTCGTAGCTGCTACATATGCAGTTTAGACTAGTAGACTACATGCCACATTTCCTCGTGAGCTTCTATACACAACCGCCAAGGGAATAGGAAAATGCGGGCTATTTCTCCGTAAGCTGACGTACAACATGTAGTCTAGACTATACGTGGATTTTTCAAATCAACTATACTTGTCATGATTGCTTGAAAACCATGATGTGTGTTTACTGCCTGCCGTTAGACGAGCTTACACACTTACACACCAGATGTATCTTGGGAAAAATACATAAATACCGTCACAGATACCACCTTCCTTGTTCGATCTTCGATATATTTATGTCCTCGCCGCATTCAATCTTCCAGAAACAGGTGTACCAGGCACACCTTCCAGAGGCTACTGCTGCTCTATCCAGCACAGGGAAAGAGGAGCATCTTGTCGCAGCTGACGCGTAGGCTAGTCGTCGTATTCCCGACTACTTAAAGTAGACCATGGCAGTCTATGCCGTCAGAAACAAGTACCAGTGTCTTTTGGCTTTCGGGAGCATGAACGCGGAGGAACAGTCCTGTCTGGATGCGGCGGAAAACCTTCGAGTTATTAGCAATCAAAACTTGCTCACGACTGCCCCCCCCTCCCGCTTGCTGACTTTTAGACCCGGGAGATAAGCCGCCTTCATGACCGATTCCCTGCACATGTACCCCTGTAAGGCTTCTTGAGGAACTCGCGGTGTCCCAATAACATCTCGATTCTCTACCAGCCCTGCGCTCAAGGTTAATGACTTCCAGGGGATCGGTTTATAATATATTGCCCTTTGCCTATGGTCGCGATGGGGCAGAGAGAGAAAGCTCTGATGACATGTTCTCTTCGACAATATTATGCATGAGTTTTCTCGAAGGCCTGGGCATCACACTATCACGTAAAGTACTGTAGTTTCACCCGAGAAATAAGTTGAACGGCACCACTGAGAAAGCGGCATGTGGTGTGTGGCGTGGTGCAATGACGCACTTTGATTTGTTTGTACCGCGTGCTTGTATAGATTGGTGGTTCCAACTGTATGTGTTGTCTGTCTCGCTCACGCTTGCCGCCTTCGTCACCCTGTCGTCGCCACCAGCACAACGATACTTCTGTACAGCCATGGGATATGATGGCTACGTCGTCGCGATCGACATCTTCATCCTGGCGGCTGCGACGGTCTACAGCTTTGTCTGCCTTGGGTTCGTTGCCGCGATGTGGTCTCTGAGGAGAAACTTCTTCATCGTGCTGAGGTATATAAAGCGAGACCAAGGCCAATAAGACACCGCGTGAAAAGCTACGGCTAGCCGTACAGAGACAATACGACGACCAGATCTTGGGAGGTCGAGGAAGAAAACGAAAATGCTCACGTGTGCGTACGATCGCTGCCGAGTGTCGGCGCCACAGATCCCCCACTGTGAGTCTGAAACGCTCACAGCCGTATGACACCTGCTGCCCTTCGCATACGATGCGAATTTTTCAATTTCTGGGGGCGCTTGTCTAGGATAATATAGTCGGGTCCACTCATCCACGGTGCAAGACAAATACCGTATACGACAGAAGATAACACACCCCCTAGACCGATTTTCAGAGCTCGATTATTCGACATCGAAGAGGGTTCATGAACGAAACGATACGTTTTCGGAGAGCTCTCGACCAGACAGCTTTAACGCCGCTATTTTCGGCGTTGTGACTCTTTCTACCTTTGATAAACCAAGTTTTGAAAATCGATCAAGGACGTACTTTGTCTTGTATCGAATGCGGTAGTTTATGGACACTTAGACCCCCACCCTCCCCCCTGGAAACAGATCCTCTCACCAGCATGTGTGACATTCCCCTCCCTTTGGAACGCATCCACAATTTCTCCCCTAAAAATCAAGGTCGCCGCTCCTGGCATGCACACTCGGGCTGTGCATCACGCTGCGCTTCGAGGTCTTGATATTTGCCCACACCCTCCACTGGGGCCACTCTGGACTCGTTGCGAGTGATGGGGTCACGAGTTTGATCGAGTTCCCGGCGCTGCTGATATCCGAATTCGCTCTGGTCATGTCGGCGGTTCGGCTGTTGGTGATGTTCTTCCCCAAGCTAAGGGCCAAGTGGGGGCGTTTCACGAGAGAAAGGGATCTGGTCTATGGCTTGGTCTGCGCGTACATCCTGATGGAGGGCGCGCTGTGGTCAGGGGTGGCGGCGGTGGGACTATCGAGGTACGGTCCGCTGGCCACTCGACAACAGCCCGCAGTCAGCGTTGGCACGGATGTTCAAACGTGAAGACGGAGAGTCAGCCGTCATTGCTGTGCCACTCTCGTCCCTTGGAACCGAGACATTCTACAGTAGATCGGGTCGGTATCCAAGGACTGTTGGCTGTATGTTGTGTTTCAGGGTTGGCCTCGCAGGCGCACCATTTCGTGCCGCGCACGTGCACGCCAGAGTGGCGGCGCAATAGTGGCATCATCTCACCGACCGTGCGTGTCGAAAAGACGATTCACTTGATTGATTCAAGCTAGACCGAGCACCCTGCCCCTGCTTTGTTCCTATCGCGGGGAGTAGGACTGTGGGAGTGCTTGTAACACTGGAGCTGTTTACGGGTTCAACCACGGTCGTCGCGGGTGTGCTACTCGGCGGCCGGCTGAACAAGGTCGACGATTTGTTGCACATGTCGACGGACATCCGCGTGGTCGGGACGATTCTGCTGCTCATGACGTGTGAGTATTGCTTTCGCGGGGTACTCTCAGGCGATCCCTCTTAGCAACGCTAGACTATTGCTGAAACAGAAGAATCGGGGTATTTTGTGGCAAGGGGCTGGCATGTAGCGAAGGAGAAAGCGCGTCGCAACACATCTCCCTCGTTGTCAGCCTACCTTTGAGTAAGGTCGACCCTGTTAGTCTTGCAGGTCCACGCTGCTGCTTGTTCTGCTTGTGCTGCTTTTGCTTCTGTTAGTGCCGAGGCACCACGGCACGGAATCTGCATATTCCGCGCATTATCAGGTTATGTAGATATACGAGCTCCCTCCCGTGGTCACTGGCTAACCCACAAGTGAGAGTCGTGGGAGTGTACCTGACCCACCCCCAAAACTTCCCACCATGGAAGGATCTGTCTCGCATCTACCTTTCTTCCACGAAGGCGGCTGCTTTGATACCGTTTCTCGGCGATTCGCACAAACCCTCCTCCCTCTCGGTCTTGTTTCCCCAGGTGTGCACAAAGGACTTCCATACCTCTCCATGTCCCCAACGGAATACCAGTACTGCAAGATCACGTTGACGGCGCTGTTGCACCCGCCAATCGTCTGGCTGATGTGAGTTCAACATACATAGAGCAATTTTCACCGCCAGAGGCAGCATCAAGACTTTTCTTCGCTCGAGTAGGCCGTTTTTTTCACTTTCGAAGGACAACGGGGCTGGTAAAGGAATCCTATCGCAAACGCAGTTGTTCGCCACTGAC